CACTGAAGCATTTAAAAAAAAAAAATCTAGAGCAATACAAACGATCTTCAGCTGACTTTTAGGAGCAAACAACATATGTTCTCAACATCTGTGCTTTTCTAAGCTATTTTTTTCCCATTATTGTCAAGAGAAAAGAAGTTTAGTGGAATGTTTCTCCACAGAGGCACAAGTCTATAATACTCCCTGTTGATTACATATAAAAGACACAAAATATTAGTTTATTAAAAGCAGCTTCAACCATTGCTGTACAAAGCAGTTCTCCGATGGAACAGATTTATGAAGTACCAGTTGAAAGGTATGCAGATCACAAGATACATGACAAATGTACTTTATTACACGGATCAGAAATGCCATATGCACAAGCAGTTATTGTACGATGATACACAACACCCAAGTAAGACTATTTAAAGGTTTTGCTGATATTGAAAACTATGAAGACATGATGTGAGAATGAGAAAGTGTTTCATAAGATAGCATAATACAAAGGACAATTCATCACATTAGGAAATTAAATACATTCTGCATATTATAAACCAAAAGTATTATAAAGCTATGCCATTCTTTAAATTAAAATTCGAAGGACTTTACCCTGTTCATTGTTTAAAGCAGATGTTTATAACGTTTTTCCATACTTTAAAGTGGAACTTAGTGGAATGAATACCAGACTTAACAACATTAACAAAATTAAGCAGATTTCAGATTTTGTTATTTCCACCAAAAATGCTTAAGTCCACAATCACATACTGCCAAAAAATTATATAGAACAAAGTCAGTGCAGTACTTTTCAAATATGACAAGGCATGTCTTGGCTGGAAAGGACTTTTAACAGTTTTCTACCAAGTTCAAATATACTTTGAATCCTTTCTGCTATGTTCCGACCAAGAGGCTGTGCAGTGACAGGTAAGGTGGCCAGTTTCATCTCCCAACATCTTGGCTCAAAGGTTCCTCTCTGATCAAATCAAAGTCATCTTTCTGCAACTTGCCATTACAGATATTCACATTACGCATTCTGGGACAAGTTGTATGACTTTAGATAAGTTTACTTATCTCTTCAAACTATTTCCTTATCTGAAAATAGGAATAAGCACTTTGATCCCAGTGTTGTATTAAGGATTAAATAATATACATAAAGCATTCAGCAGTGTAAGCATTCTCTAAACGTCAGCTGTTGTGTTTTTACTATGGTTCTATCAAATGAATCTTCTTTGACATCACATTATATATATTTTCCCCTGCTCTAAAATAGGTGTAAACCATCCTTGGCATTCATTCTATGTAATTTACAGTTATTTTGCTAAGTAGGCCCAAACTTGGCCCTGGCCTTTCTGAATGCCTGGACCCTGGGGACAGCAAAGTGACCTTTGACTTGCTATAAATATTTTACAGTTCCCCCTCACCCAGATATATCCTTGTAAAACTAGTGTCTGCTGCAATGGTGATTTTAATATATGCCCCAAAAAAGAAGAGAGTTCTATTACGAGCCTAGCAAGAATTTGAATCTGCCGAGGTGGCATGAAAAAGTGACAAGCTAATAAGATTAGTCTACAGTAGAGTATCTGCCTATCATCTGTAGCATTTATAAACATAGCAATTCCTTGAAACCTCTTAAAGAGTCCCCCCAATTTTATTTTGTGGCTAGCTCTTCACTAGTCTACACATTATTGTTCCCCACCATCACTACCAGCCCATTTCAAATATTTGAATTATGTAATTTATTTATCTTCTGATTCACGTAACCAACCAAGTCCTCCCTTTTATTTATTTATTTATTTTTTTTAGTGGCTTTTGCTGTATGGCACATGCACTCACCAGGCAGACAAGAGACAGAGAGACAGAAGGTTAGAAATCACCGCCCTCCGCTCCCTGGCCCCCCCCCCCCCCAGGGGTAATGACCACACCGCAATCCCTTCTACTCCATTCTCCTCTCGGGATCTTAGGTACACACACATGCGCCCGGCTTGAGTTTAAGCCACCGGGTCCGGGACTTGAACCAAGGTTCACTACATGGGAGTCCAGTGACGTAGCCATTTTGGTATCTGCTGGTTCCCCAATCAAATCCTCTCTTGGTGTTTTTGTTTTCTTTAATTGCCAGAGGGTATACATGCTTGTCTAAGAGAAAAGGAGAGGGGGAAGGAGAAAGGTCCTCTCAAAGAGGCATGGAAAATCCTCAATCCCTTCTCTTCCATCTCTCCATCCTGTTGGGATTTTCAGCATGCATTCACATGCACCTGGCATGTTTTCAAGCCAGGCTTGGAATTTAAACTGTGGTAGACCATGTGAGATTCAGCTGTCTTAACCACAAGCTATGGGCGAGCCCTGAATTACATAATTTATAACCAGTTAATTTTCCTTCCCCATCTTTTTTTTTTCCTTCCTCATCTCTTAAAAACCATATCCCAGAACCCAAATTTTGAAATCACCCCAATTTACTAATTAGCAAATATACACTGCTGTATATTTTACATAGCATGTGAATAAGCAGGAAAAGAAACATATTTATATTGATATGACGGTAGAAGATATAATCAAAACCACTAGTGGAGTCTACCTTAGGATTTCAACTGTAGCTCACACCTTTTCTGCTTATTTTTTGAACATTACTGATCCCGGTCCATACCTTTACATTTCAGATTAATCAGCCACTCCAAATGAAATGTTACTTATGGAAATCCAGTCTGGGTTAGGCCCAGAGACAAGTCATTTCTCCACTAAAACTTGTTCTTTAATTCTTAGCCTGCATCCATCCATGCACCAACTCAATCCATCACGGGTTGAACCAAAAAGTAAGCATTCTATCTAAAATTAATGTTCTTAACAATACTTTGCACATCCTTGAGAGGTAAATGTCATTTTACGCAAATAGACTCTAGAACCAGACTACCTGAATTTGAACCCCAGCTCTCCCAGTTTGGGTTATGTAGCCTAAGTGCCCCAGTTTCCCCACGTAAACAGAGATAACACTAGTCCCAAACTCATAGGATTGCTGGGTTATTTGAATCAATTAATAATTTTAACTTTAATACTCAAAAAATTTTGATGAACCTAAAAGCAAAAATAAAATGTTACATTCAATTCCTATTATGACTTAGCACATTCACTCCAATTCTAAAAATGACTTGGTGCTTAGCTTGAGCTCCATCTGGTGGCTTTTAGCGATTCTCTTAAAAAATCAACTTCATGACTAATTTCAAAAAGATATGCTAAATTATAAAAGATTAAAGGACAGTATTATAACTCTCAATTATGATCGTACTCATGGACTAACTTAGTACTGCCAGGCTGAATTTCCTGCCCAAATTTGGAGGCAGGAAATTGCTTGTAGAACATCTCAGGAACTCAGTGCTTAGAGGCTCCTGGCAACGTGGTGCAATTTCTCTTTAGCAGACACCTTCCCAGAAGCCATAGGACTCTCAAAAACATGATTCTCAAAGAAAGTTTTTAGTAGTGGTATTTTCATCCTCAATTTTGTTAAGTTTTAAGTTAAACATGGAGTAGACAAACTTGCGAACTTAAATTTCACTTAGTATCCTAATACCATTGAGGAGCCCTGAATGAAAGCTCAGATCTATTGCTGTTGGGGTCAAACTACATGTCAACATACCCAAAAGAGGCGATAATGCTGCCAAAATTTAAACAAGCACTGAGTGTGTAACACACGCCTAATCTACACAATTTTTCTGATAAAAAAAGAGGCAAATAATTCAGCTACAATATTTAGGTTGATATTATCAGTGGCTAAACTGGGTAATGTTTCAAACTTTCCATTCATGAGTCAACATATGTGTCCACATTTCCCTCACAAACACTATTATTATTCATAGCTATACCAAAATCCAACAAAGGACATGAATGTCATCCAACTTTCAACTCACATATTTTTTGGCTGGTTTCAAGAAAATTAATTTTAAGTTACCCATTAACTTTTCAAAATGAACTATTGAATAAATCAAGGAAAGCACGTTATTAAAATAATTACTGGTATTAAATTTTATGGCTTCAAATCTCCTAAAAGATTTGGTTCACATCCTGGTTATCACTGTATTGTGCCTTAGCCTAGCAGTGTGCCAGGCACAAAGCTTACAACCTCACGACTGTGATCCTATCTTCCACTTCTTACTTGGTTTTCCAGTGAGGTTAACATCCTCTTTTGAAAAGATCACAGCTCTTAGTTCTAGTAGGGCAGACCTTGTCTTGTTCCCTGTGTCCCTATCACCTGGAAAAGTCTCTGGCACATACAGTACGTATTTGACAAATACTAGATTGTTATAGTGAACAACAAAAAGGCTAATTATGATTCCAGTGAAATTTCAAAGGTAGTGCTAAGTTTAGGTGGCTAACTAAAAGAAAACCAAGAAAGACAAAATGAGCAAACTGTAACAAGATAGGTTTAACCAAAATTATTTCACTATACCAGTATTCCCAACAGTATATTCTATTTCTCAGAAAATTATAGTTTCAAAGAGTCAAAGTTGAAGTCTTCTTCACTGCTAGATCCCCGTAGCACAGTACTAAGCTACATTTTATAAATTGTCAAGTATGAAACATTTCCCAGATTGATGTAACCAGATTTATTTATTTTTATTTATTCATCATTACCATTATTTTAAAATTTGCTATAGGGCACATGCACTCACTAGAGACAGACAGAAAAATGGTCTGGGACTTAAACCGTGGTCAGCCATGTGGGAGTCCAGCGCCCTTAACCACCATTCCAATTGCCGCCCCCCACCCCAGGTTTATTTTTCAGTCAAAGATTGGAATAAATTATCTCTGGAGAACATACCAAAGGATATGCTGAGTTTTAATATATTAGTCTATACATTATGAAAGCTAAAGAACATTAAATCAGTTTCCAGGAAAAGCCTGAACTATTCCAATCTCCTAAAAGGCAAATTGATACATGCTAATAAAAATTGACTTTCTTAAAATTTCACTTAAGTAGCGTCTTCTCTAGTACTAACTTTAAGGCTATATGGAAGAAAAGATCAAACTTCAAGACCTACACACAAAATATATTTTATTCTGTATTACACAAATCAAAGGTCCAAATATATATTGTTTTTATATTCTCTGACAAATGGTATAATTACATAAGCGGTCTTTAAATGAATTCACTCAAATTCATCAGTACATTATTTATCTTTACTGACTATAATCACCAAGTTGTAAGAACAAACCATTATAACCACATTAATACCTGAAATTGTTTGGACGTCTGATCAAAACCTGAAAACTGGGTGGCATCTAATTAAAATTATTAGTACAGCTTTCATTCATCAAAGAAAATATTTTATTCAAGTTCCCAAAACAAACTTGAGGAATTATGTTGTCTGAATTAAAGTCATTCAATGGGATATGAAATTGCTGTATACACTTGAATCAACTGTCCCATGTGGCATCTTTAGTTTTTAAGAGTCTACCAGGCCAAGCCCTTCGCTGCCTTCATTGCTTTTGCTTTGCTTTTCCCCTTTGCTTTCTCTCGCTTTGCCTTCAGTCTTTTCCTTTGCCTCTGGTTCATCCATACTGGGTACTGTCCGTGCTGGTCTAGAAGACTCTTTTTATTTCTCTTAATATCAGTTTCCATTTTCATATCATCTGAATAAAAACATGAAAAAACCATTACCACTCATATATGAGAAAACCCTGTAAAAGTACATTAGTGCACCAAGAACATCAAAACAAAACGAAAAAATCCCTTATTGTAGAATGCACTTTGACGAACACTCTGAAAACTCCTTATAGCACACTCAGAGTAGTCAGATGCATGCTGCTACATGTTTCCACAGCCAAGAAAGACAGGAAAAAAAATTAAGTCAGTAACTAAGAACACCATTTACTATTTAGTGACTGAGAAAGTTTCTAAAGAATGTTGTCAGGACTGTTCTCTGGAATAGTAAAGTTAAACAAAACACATTTAAAAGGTATGGTTTTGAGTCACATTAGTGGGTTAAGTATGGTTCTAAGCACATGTGAGTTATATTAATATTTTTCATACTAAGTGCTTCATTGAATTAAATAATTGAGCCAGTAAGAGATTCATTCATGATTCTAATGGATAAGCCTTAGAAGTAAATAAACTGATTAGGAATGATTGGCCATTTCTAATGAATTTAAACTACATTCTAATGAACTTAGAATGAACTTCTGATGAACCTGATGGAGAAGTTAGCATAACGGCTCTGATGACAAGGATGGACAGAAAACAGAGAAGCTCTGTAAGGCAATTCTAAGCTAGTATTCTTTTGTGAATTTTCAAGTACATAGCATTTTACAAACTGATAGTGACCAAATGTATTTTTTTTACCAAGCACTGAAGAGAAGTGGGCTATTATTATTCAGTCTTCAAAAGGAAATACTACTGATGGGACCAGCAATTAGCATAATGGCAATGTTGCTGGACGTCCACATACTCGACCGCGGTTCATGTCCCGGACCCGGTGGCTTAAAACTCACGCCGGGCGCGTGTGCATACGTGCCCAGGGTCCTGAGAAGAGAATGGAGGAGAAGGGATTGTGGCGTGGCCATCCCCCCTGGGGGGTGATTTTTCGCTTTCTGTCTCTCTGTCTCTCTGTCTGGCGAGCGCACGTGCCCTATAGCAAAAACTTCTTTAAAAAAAAAAAAAAAGGAAATACTACTGATAAATGCTACGATGTGGGAGATCCTCAAAAGCACATACAAAGATCACCTATTTTTGTTTTTCCTTTTGAGAGAGATTTTTTTTGCTATAGGGTTGCTTGCCAGAGACACAGAGAGATAAAAAGTGAGAAATCACCCCCCAAAAGGGATGGCCATGACGCAACCCTTCTCCTCCAGTCTTCTCTTGGGATTTTGAGCATGCAAGCACACACACCCAGCCTGAGTTTTAAGCCACCAGGTCCAGGACTCGAACCATGAATGACTACATGGAAGTCCAGTGACGTAATCATTACACTATCTGATGGTCCCAAAAAGATCATTATATGAAATATCCAGAATAAGTAAACCCAGAGACAGAAAGCACATTAATGGTTGTCAGAGGCTGTGCTGAGGAGCAGAGAGAACCTGATTAATGGGTATAGGGTTCCTTTTCATGATGACAAAAAATGTTTTGAAACTAGAAGTGACAGATGCACAACACTGTCAGTGTAGCAAGTACCAGTTAACTGTATACTTCAAGATGGTTTATATCATGTGAATTTTGCCTCAACAACAAAAAGAGTGAATAAAGCAGAAGTAAAATGCATTTGAGGAAATATTCCAGGATTTGGAAAGTTGAGGAATGCTACTCTCTTCCTTGACCTTAAGATACCAAATAAATCTACTCCTTTTTAAAAGTTTGGATGTTGTTAAGTTTGTTTGTTTGGATGTTATAATTTAGTTTAATTTCATAGATTAAAATGTAAAAACTACAAGTCTTTCCTTTTCTAAAGCTAGCATTATATCCAGTATCTAACCCTAGATTATAACCAAGGTAAAAAGGTACACAGAATCTGTCAAAATGAAATACAGTAAAACTGTGATTTTCAGAATAGTACAAGGGTAGTTACCAGAATGGGAGCTAGATCTTGCAAAGAGTAAAATGAACACCTCTCTCTATCCTGCCTATACCCTGAATGAACTGTGTACCCTTTCAATCAGGGTATGTACAGGTTTATCTATTCCTACAGTATTGGCTCTTTTTTTTAATTATTTATTTAATTTTATTTATTCATTCATTTATTTTAATTTGACCAGAGAGAGACACAGAGAGAGAGAGAGAAAGGGAGAAAGGAAGCCATCAGGTCTGGGACTCGAACCGTGGTCGGCCATGTGGGAGTGTCCAGCACCTTAACCACAACGCCACCTGCTGGCACCTAGTATTGGCTCTTTTTGAGATATTCAGGTCACTGCGAAGCAGTCAAGACATCCCCAAGTAACCTAAAACATGCCTGTCACATGAACTTCTTTAAAATAGTTTAGCACAGAACATGCCTTCAAACAAAAATATGAGCATGGCAGGTTTGCAGTGTAGTAGTTGTGGGGAAGGGTAGAAGACAGCAAACAAAGGGAAAGGATCACCAAAGGAAAGTGATCTATAACTTTTTTTAATTAATAAAGCACATAACTAACCTTTTTCATCATTCACGTCACATTGCATTTTCTCTTGCTGATGTTTGGGAACCACAACAGTAGCAATCTCTTGAACATCTTTCATTAAAGCATCACTGTCTACTTTGAGAATACTTTTAAGTCTGTTGAGCTCCTTTGGGGCATTTTTTTTCCTCTTTTCAGCACGCATCTTCCTTTTCCACTTACTCCGTAAGCTTTTGGCCATGCTTTACCTGAAAGTTAACCAAAAATACACACTCAAAAGCGAATATATACTACAGGAAAAAAAATCCTTGGAAAACAAAGGTCAACAAGTATCTCTAAGAACACAGGACCAGCAGATGGAGTAACAGTTACGTTGCTAGACCCTCACATGTCCGACCACAGTTTGTGGCCTGGATATGGCAGCTTCGAACTCACACCACGCACCTATGCGTGCATGCCCAAGATCCTGAGAGGAGAGGAGGAGAAGTGATTGTGGCTTGGCCATCCCTTCCAACCCCCGGGGGGTGAGTTCTCACTTTTGTCTCTCTCCTCGGTAAACACACAAGCCCTACAGCAAAAATCTCTCTAAAAAAGAACAAAAGGTAGAAATCGTCATACTGTTAATTTATGACAGCTTAATAAAGAACATATGTGAACATCAACATGGCACATACAGCCACTTAAGTAAGAACTAAGAACACCAAATCAAACTCCCTGTGGTCATTGGCAAACTATAACCCAAGCTAATCCTTAAAGCTCCTTGAGTTTCTAGACATGATTCAGTTTAATTTCCTAAGAAACTCAAAGACCCAAATCATCTGTTATTTATGCAACAGCTCACAAATTACAAAATCTTATGAACACCCCAAACCCAATGCTCATTTCCTAACTCAAGACAACCTAACTACTATTTCCATTTTTGCTTCTTCTACATCCCTCTGTCCTCACCTAAATCCTCCACAAGGTGGTTTGTGTTAACTTAATACACGGCATGGCTCCCTTACCGAGCACGGGGAAGCCGCAGGGCCGCCACGGGGACCGCTCGCCCTGGACCACCGCCTGCACCTCCGGTCCGGGGCTCACGTGTGGCTCACAGACGGCCAAGTCTCGGACGAGATTCTCTAGGGTCGGCGAAAACCAGCCCCACTCCCATCCCACCCAGGAGAAACCCAACTCACCCAGTCACTCACACGCCGCAGGATCACGCCGACCGGAAATCGCTCGTACTTCCGCTTTCCGGGCAGGGCCGACGTGGGCGGTGGTTACGTTGCATGCCGGGAGTGGAGAAATCCGGAAAGTCTCGCGAGGCCGGGTCTTCCGCGCGCGCGCGCAGCACGTTTCCTTCGGTTTCTGTGAGTGGGTTCCTGCAGCGTGGGGAGAGCCGGGCAGGTAGGCGAGACGAGGAAGTCCTGGTCCAGGGTCGGGCCCTAGATCACCCGCCTACGGACGTGGGCGGGGTAGCCCCGAGACTGTTCTCTACCTGTCACCTAGGGAGCTCTACCCATATTTAATTCTTAAATCGATCGTCCTGAACCACATGTTCTTTCAGAGGCCACACTGAATCGTCTTTTTGCAGTCTGCATTTTCACATCCAGTTGAGGTGCTCACGAATGTACACGTCAAAACTTGACAAATTGTACACTTTAAACATGTGCAACTTATTATATATTCGTTACACTTCAGAGCCGTTACCAACAACAGCAAGCTTTTCCCATCCCAAATAAAGGGCATAATACGAAAACTATTTCAGTTCAACCAGTGTTTACCTGTGTCATCACTAACATGCCAGACACAATGCCAAGCCTTAGAATAATAACTTATTTTATATATTTTACCTATGATTCTAAGAACAGTTTTTGAAACAAGACATGTACGCATTGTATTCTTGGTTGCAACACTTGTGAATGATATGGGTAACTAATGTTTTAGAGCCTGGATTTCTTTGTCCCTAAAGTGAAGGTGCAACCTAAGGATTCTAAGTAGATGGTTAAGAGCTAACAAATTACAGTACCCTCTCACACTTTTAGGTTATAGTTTCAAACATACAGCTTCAAGGTAATATTTGTAAGCAGTGTTTTCAAGAGATTTACAATGCACACCAGAAAACAAGAAAGGAATTCTGTTTTTTTTTTTTTTAAGAGGTTTTTGCTATAGGGCTCATGTGCTTGCCAGAAAGACAGACTCAGAGAGACAGAAAGTGAGAAATCACCCCCCAGGGGGCATGGCCACTCGGCAATCCCTTCTCCTCCATTGTCCTCTCAGGATCTTGGGCACACATGCACAGGGTGAGTTTAAGCCACTGGGTCTAGGACTCAAACCACAGTCGACTACATGGGAGTCCAGCAACATAGCCATTACAGCAACTGCTGGTCCCCAGGAATTGTTTCTAATGATGGCCTTGTAGTTTCCCATCTGATTGCTGGTAAGAGAGTTCTGAAACTGTTTGTGGGGTCTGATATAATTTTTTATAGATTTGTGTCCTTTAGGAATCCAAGCACACAGTATGGAAATGACTGAGTTCATAATACACAAAGTTATTTTAACAAAGGCTAAGGAAAAAAAAAAAAAAAACAACTCCTAACATGGTATAAAAAGAGATCTGTTTCTTTAAATGGAAGATTACGTTCTTAGGCAAGTGAACTTTTATTTCATAAGTTAACTATATGTATAGTCTTTCAAATTACAATTTAGCCCCTTTCCCAAAAGTATATGTGCACATTGCATTTTCGAGAAAGCTCACTTTTAGATAATCCAAATAAACTGCCTCTTGCCTAACATACCAGCCCAAGAGATGACGAAATGATTCTAGAAGAACATAATTTACCTATTATGAACATGTCAAGGGGTTAAAATACAAACCACAATTCAGTATTGACAAATGTTTTAAAAAGCTGAATCAGAGGCTGCATTATTGAAAACCTTTTATTTTCAACCTCTGTTCCTCTCCAGTTTTATATAAAAGCAGTTATAAAATAATAGTTAACTAGTTTTAGGATATTTTAAAACCCTTGACTTAGCCTGTGGTGCAGTGGTAACAGTGTCCTGCAGGGATAGAAACCCCACGATAGACTACAGGTTTGGATCCCTGGGTCAGCCTGAAACATGCTGGGTATGCAGGTATACACTCAGGATCTGGAGGAGCTGAAGAGATAAGGAAATCGGTGTGCCAAAATCTTATAGAGGGTACCCCCCTCCTCTCTTTCTCTCATACATGCATATGTGCTACCATCAAAAAAAAAATCCTTAGTTCATTCCCTCACTCATATGTTCAAGTATGCTGTCTGTAATAGACATTATGCTGAATATACAAAGATAAAGGAATCTGAACTACTGTGTTCAAGAAGTGTTGATCTGAGGCAGGGACATGGTTTCAAGGTCAAACTGGACATTGCTGTGTCTCCTCACAGAGCTATAACGAGCCTATGGATTTAGAGCCTTAGTGGGCAGTGCTAAATACCTGACAGGAAGCAGACATTACCCATCCAAAAGACATGCTACACTTTAGAAAGCCAGTATGGCCCCAGTGGTCAGCCCTCTCCCATGGAGTTCCTGATCTGTATTATCACTTAGTAAGGATCAGGACAGACTTCTGATATTCAGATGGCGACCCACATTGTCCATTCCTTAGATGGTGGGGACTTCAAGACAAAGCTCTACAAAGACGAGAGGAAAAAGCAAAAACAATCTAAGTTCTTAGTTGCTCCCAATGGCTGATACTACTAATCCTCAGAACTTCAAGTGGATCAAGGCCAGCCCTGAGGCTCCTAAGGAAATGAAGGCAGGTACACAGAGCCCAGTGTAAAATTACATCCAGTAAATGCACAAGTTCTCAGACACTGCTGTCTCACTTTCCTCCTACCTCACCAGGCCTTCTGCCTTTGTCCCTTGGACACTGAGTTACCTGACACCTTGTCAGAGTCCTCCTACTTGCACTTAATAGTTGGCATAGTTTCACCTGTACTGGCAAGGAACTGAAATTGCATGTGACCTTTTATCTAGCAGTTCTAAGCATTGATATATTCCTTACTTAGGCAAATTCAAACTATGTGCAGTGGGACACATACAGGATTTACATAGCAGCACTCACTGCTAATAAAAAATAACCACGTAACTCACTGACAGAAGAATGGATGAATAACTATGGTTTATTTATAAAATATAATATTCTACACCAAAGGTTTTCAAACTTTAGTCTGGGATCCTTTTATACTCTTAATAATTATGATATTTACCTTATCAGGAATTTAAAATTTTTTGAGAATATATCATTTTAAAAGAATATATTTGTGGGGACCAGCAGACGGTATGGTGGTCAAGGCACTGGACACTCCCATATGGCCAACCAACCACAGTTCAAGTCCTGGACCTGATTGCTGGACTCCCATGTAATCAACCACAGTTTGAGTCCCAGACCTGGCCTGCTTTCTCACTTTCCACCTATCTCTGTGTATGTCTCGCTCTGGTCAAATTAAAAAATAAATGAATAAAAAAAATTTTTTTTAGAAAAAGGATAAATTTCTTATATGTTAACATTTGTATGACATTTTTTCCTAAACCAAAAAGAAAAAAAAGTGGAAATAACATTGTTTTACATTTTTACAATATCAAATCTGCTTTATTTAGTGCCTTTAGTTGCAATTCAGTATATTCTACCTTTGGATTGAAAGTAAGATTAACAGCAGCAATTAATATTAAGTACTTGGTTTATATGATATATTTACTCATTTAACCTTTATTACAGCTCAGTGAGGTAGACAATATTATTCCTGTTATGGGGGGGATTTCAAAAAGTCTGTGGAAAAATAGAAATATAAGTTTCTTGGGACCACCAGATAGCATAATGGTTACATCACTGGACTCCCATATAGTTGACCGTGGTTCAAGTCCTGGACCTGGCAGCTTAAAACTCATGGTGGGGGTGTGTACATGCATGCCAAAAATTCTAAGAGGAGAATGGAGAAGGGATTGCAGCATGGCCATCCCCCTGGGGAGGTGATTTCTCACTTTCTCTCTGGTGAGTGCACCTGCCTGATAGCAAAAATCTCTCAAAAAAAAAGTATACATAATTTTATTTTCATAACAAAAAATTAGAATCCATGCATACTTTTTTCATAATATTTGTTTTTTATTAACTTTCTGAAGAGCACTTACAGAGAAGAGGCAAAAGAGCTAAGTAAAGAAAGATAAATAACTTGCCAAACATGATATAAGCAGCTGGTTGTATAGCAAGGATTCTACCCTATAAATAGATACTCTTACCCACTGTGCTGTGTTAAACTTGATTGCAAAGCATTGTACACTTGCGTATTCAGCAATAAGTAGATGACAATAAAGTGAAATTTACATCTAAGAATCACTGGAGGCGGGGCCAGCAGATGGCTTAGTGGTTACATGGCTGGACTACCACATGGCTAACTGTGGTTAGGTCCCAGACCCTGTGGCTTGAAAATCATGCTGGTGCTTTTGGGTACATGCCCAAGATCAAGATCAAGAGGAGAATGAAGGAGAAGGGATTGTGGTGAGGCCATCCCCCCCGGGGGATGGGGTGATTTCTCACTTTCCTTCTCTCTCTCTCTGTCCCTGCAAGTACATTCATCCTGAGGCAAAAGCCTCTTTAAAAAAAAAAAAAAAAAAAAATCACTGGAGGCTAAATATATACTGCTTACATATTTCAACTTAATAGCTGGAAAATAATGCTTAATGAGTATTATGGGCTAAGCAGTGTACCCCTAAAACTCATAAGATAAAGTTATTAGCCCCATGGGGACTAGCAGTTTGCATAATGCTATGTTGCTGGACTCCCATGTAATCAACCACAGTTTGAGTCCAGAACCTGGCAGTTTAAACTCACACCGGGCGCGTGTGTGTGCACACCCAAGGTCCTGAAAGGAGAATGGAGAAGAGACTATGGTGTGGCCAACCCTCCTGGGGGGTTGATTTCTCACTGTCTCTCTGTCTCTCTGTCTCTCTCTTTTTGGCAAGCGTACGTGCCCATAGCAAAAACCTCTCAAAAAAAAAAAAAAAGTCATTAGCCCCAGTACCTCAGAATCTGACTGTATTTGGAGGAAAGTCATGAGAGTAGACTCTAAAAATCCAGTATGACTGGTGTCCTTATAAGAGGAAATTTGGACACAGACATGATGTACAGAGGGAAGACTATGGAGACACAGAAGATGGCCATCTAGAAACCAAGGATAAAGGCTTCAAAAGAAACTAATTGCCAACATCTGGCCTTGGCCTTGAACTTCTAGCCTCCAGAACTGTTAAAAAAATAAGTTTCTCTTGTTTCAGCCACACTCTGTCGTACTTTCTCATGGCAGCCTCAGCAAACTAACACAGTGAGAGAAGTTGCTGAAGGTTCATTGTCAATGGGACACCAGAACGCTGACCTAACATGCCATGGTACCAAAACACCAAAAAACCCACAAGACACTATTTTCCAAATATGTTTATTTTAAAATGTATATACTTAACCAGTTCATTTTGGGTTCTCAAAACTTATTAGCATGTTATAATTGTAAAATGAAACTTGTCAAAAAAAAGTCAAATTTTATGTCAAGCAGACTTTTAATTTTTAATATGTCATTTGAAAATGAACTGTTATTAATATATTTATATAATTTTAATACTGAATCATTCTTTATAGAACTTATCTCTTATATTTTTTTCTTTCTAAATGAAATTAAAATCCAGCAAAAGGACATTCACATTTTATGATGGTAAAGATATTACTACTTTAGAATCAACATCAAGTCTAATGTTACTTCATAATTCAAGGAAAATTTATATAAAGTCACTAGACAAGGTAAATTGACACCCTTTAATCTACTCATAAAATTACTTTTAAATTGCAAATGAATAGTTATGTATGGCCAATTGAGAATTTAAAAAAAAAAGACTTTTCATATCCCTTATGTGAGATTCTAAATCAAGAATTTAAAAAGGTGGTATCATAAGGAATGGTATAAGTTTAAAACCTTCAAAGTACAGAATACAAAGCAAGATCATAAAAGTCTCTTCTATTTAATTGCATCTCCAACTTTATTACTGACTGAAACAGTTTCTACATACTGCTTTTAGTTACTTTTTATTGACTGCTTCCAAAAACCGCAGTAGATGCAGGAATAGATTGATGATATCCAAGTAGAGATTGATAGCAGCTAGTACATACTCTTCAGGTGATAGTTTATGCATCAGTGTGTGTGTGTCATAGATGATGAATCCACAGAAAAGAAGAGCTCCCATAGCAGCCAAGACCAACTCCACTGTCTCATTGTAAAAAAACAACTATAGGCAAGAGATTAAAGAAATATATTGATATTTGAGAAAAGTATTAAAAGTACTAAATTACTTCCTCTAATGATCCACTGCTAGACACATTTAGTAACAGTATACATTTTGAATACAAAAGCAGAAAAAAGCAAGCAGGTCCCAGTTTGCTTCTGTTGGATGGAAGGATGACTGGATGGATATCTTCCGTTCAATCAAATTACCTGCCTAACTTTCAGTGGTAGCATTTCAAATATAAATTATTTATTAAATATTATTATTTTTTTCAGAATTAAATCTGCCATTATAGTTTGGCAGTTATAAGAAGGCCTCTTATGTAACTATATGTTCATTCATTTATCTTTCAATAAATAAGAATTCACATAAGACCTTACATTTTAAAGAAAATATTCTTTAATCATTCTATATACAAATAATTCATGTAATTAAAACTAAGTGTCCTGTTATAAGGGTGTGTCTTGACACTTTTTAATGTTGTTTATGTCGGCATGGCCAGAATTGTATTTCCAGTTAACCATTCTCAAACAACTTACCTTCAAAAATCCTGACAAGCACAAAATCCACAAAACAGCAAATAGCCTATAAAAGCAAAATATCAATAATTTAGAATATTGTGACTTCCAATAAACTTTGTATACCCATTGAGCATTTTACAAAGAAACAAATCAATGCAGATTTTTGCCAAAGAATAAATAAAATATAAGAATTCATAAACATACACTAAATACTCTCAATAATTTTTTGGATATTTCTTTAAAAAGAAAAAGAAGCTTATTTTTTATGATGTACAACACTTAAGAATATTATTGTTAGAGTTTTCAATTGGACACAAAGAAAATACTGCTATAAGTTGGGGCATGCCCCAAATCCCAATAGGATGGAAAAATGGAGGGAAAGGAATTGTGGCATGACCGTGCCCCATTATTAGGTATTGGGCAATTAATTCTAGGGCAAACCACATACCACCACCCCAACCCCCTTTCTCTCTCTTCCTGTTTTTCTCTGTGGCAAGGGAATGTACTCTCTAGTTAAAAATAAATAAATAAAATTTAAAAGGAGTCTAATATACATGTAACATGGAATCCCAAAGAAGAGAAAGAATTCTATCCTCTCATCTCAACTAGAAATACAAAATAAAAATAACCTAAAAATAGCGATGTGCCAGAGTAAACTGGTTTTCCAGGGGGGTAAAGGGAGAATCCCTGACTTGTGGTGCTTCCTGATTTCTGTGGTCTACATACTTCCACCATGGCTTATTTTAATCTTCTAATAATTTAACAATTGACTTGCAAGACTCCTCTTGTAAGCTGGTACAAGCTGGCTCTAGCACAACAATAAGTTGCCATAGTTATCACATGTCATTTTGAGATTTAATTCCTATTGTGTGAAAACTACAGGATAATTAGGATGTTGTAAAAACATAGCTGTAAGTCAACACATGAAGTGCTGCTACCACTGTCTATGATTATCGGACATTCAGATGTTTAACAGATATTTCTTGAGTCTCTATCCCATAACAGGTCAAAACAAATAGCCTATAAAACTTTTTACAGAAAATCTTTTTGCTCAGCATTTGCAATCCCATTATGACAGTTAGCTTCCACAACCATTTTGGATTTGAGGCTTCACAATAATTAGTGTCATTAAGTTTTGTTTAAAATAAAGTAAAATGCTACTCTTAAGTAACTAAATCTGTTGCATACTGACTAAAATATTATTAAGATTTTTGTACAGAAACACTGCATGGCAATATCTAATAATGATGACAGTAAATGCAATTCAGTAGAGAGCTAGGCTGTATCCCAAAAGCAGCAGTAGAGTACTAAAGAGGTTTTTCTTTTTGGGGGGAGAGGTTTTTTGCTATAGGGTGCGTGAGCTAGCCAGAAAGACAGAGAGAGACACAGAGATAATAGAAAGTGAGAAATTCCTGCCCCCCCCCTCGGGGGATGGCCATGCCACAATCCCTTCTCCTCCATTCTCCTCTCAGGATCTTGGGCATACACGCACATGCACCTGCTAAAAGGCTTTTAATAGGTATGTCATGAGCAAGTTTGCATTTTGTAAATATCATATAGTTGCTTTGTGGAGAACAGACTGGAAACTGGTAGACTGGACAGAAAGAAGCTGGGTGTAGTAATAGAATTTAGAAAGGGTTCTGCTTTCAATATTATAATAAACAAGGCTTTTCAGACCAATTACCACCTTCACAATCCTAAAAAGAGTACAAAATGATGGATTAAAGAAAAAAAATGAGCCATCTGGTGGCATGGTGATTAAGGTGGCTGTTTCCCATATGGCTCACTGCAGTTGGGAGTCTTGGACCCTATGGCTGAAAAACACACACCAGGGTGTGTGTGTGTGTGTGTGTGTGTGTGTGTTCTCTCTCTCTCTCTCTCTCTCTCTCTCTCTCTCTCCCTCCCCCCCCCTCTCTGGCAAGCTAATATGACCTCTAGCAAATTAAAAACAAAACTAAAAACAAAGACTATCTCCTAAAAGCATCACTTAACTGACAAGATAAAAGGGATGATCAAGCCAAAATCAACCAAATAGTAGAAGCTCAAAGAAGTAATCATAGTATTATAGCTGTATTTGCCCAAAGCCTATCATATTAATTCTAGGGCAAACCACATATCACCACCTCCACTCCCAAAGATTACAAGGAAACTTACTAATGCATTAAACAAAAAATTGTGAATTTGTCACCAAAAGGTATTCCTTTACAGATCTGTAGTCCAAATTCACAACACCTGGGTTCCGAATGGACCCTATCTAAGAGTTTTT